TCATTTAATATGTATATTCATCTCTTTTAATAGAGCAAACCATGGAACTCTCAGTGCTACGCTCTCATCTCTCCAAGCTACAAAGTGATATTTCAATCAACACTAATGAAATAAATGCACTTGAGCAACAAATTAGGGACTTGACTATGATCAAGACATCACAGGAAGTGGAGCATATGAGGTTACAAACAACTTTAGATAGTTTATCTGGCTATTTAAAAGGACTGAAGACTAACTTAAGGTATAAGAAACCTTGTTAATTTGTGGAGTTAATGCGGGTAGCAAATTATGGAAAACTTGTGTGTAAGTCTTGCAAAAGTCTTTTGCATGCGACTGATTCAGGGATCAACAAATGTTGGTTTCCAAGCCAAAAGGTTGATATGATCATTATAATAATACCTACAGCCATAGGGTGAGGGATGTGATACTGCTTGATGAGTTAGTAGAAACCATGTACCTGAGAAGAATTATGACAAAACCCTTTTCTTTCAATTCTAGCATGATTCTTGAGTTGCGCAGAATTCATAATTCTGAGAAATATGTTTTCAAGTCATTTTATTTATTGACGGGCTTAAAGTTTGTCAGCAGTTTGTACCTTGTTACCTTGACTAGTTCCTTGCTAGTTCTTTGGCAGCTTCCTTTAGGCTTGAAGTAGCCTAATATATGTGTAACATGTTAATGTTTCTTTTTTTTGTACCTACCCTGAAACTATAGAATCATGCTGGTCTTGGTAGATTTTTTGTTCTTTTTACGTAATTACCTATATTGACGTGTGGTCTGCAGTCGTATTTAGATGGTAACGGTGATTTCCCTGTACAATAATAGTCATGAATTTTCATTTTATTCATTGGACCTTCATATGGGATCATAACAGTTCATAGTTATTGGAAAACATACGGTAACTAGTTAATTGGGGAAAGCTGACAAATTCATTTGCTGATGCATTTTCAATACAATTATTTATTGATAATATGTCGACCCCTACCTGTCGGCATCAAATGCTGTGATATCTCTCGTTTCCTTTACACTAATTTTTACTAGAAGGGAGTTCACCATTCATATTTTACCATTTTTTTAAATGGAAGGCCATGGATTTGTTCCTTCTATTTTATTAATTTTTAAGTTAGCTATTGGTGAGAATATGGTGGATAGTCAAGAGAGTTTATTTGCAATTTTCTTTTGTGTTGAGTATCATGCTTTAGTTTTGTGGTCTGGCAGGCATTACCGTTCTGACCAAGCCTAGTCTTGTATTTATTCCATGCCGTGGTCGGAGCTCCCTGTGACCCTTTCCTTTCTGTTCCTGTTGTTATGTGCTACTCCAATGCACATTGTGATTAGCCAAGGAAAAAATTCCATTGCAGGAAGTTTCGTTTCATCTAATTTTAAACTTTTTTAAATTTGTAAATGCTTGGGTCCTAACATGACTTACTGACGTTTTTCATTTTTATGAATGTACTTGCATAATGAAAATTAGCTCATATATTTCACTTATTTAATGACTGTTTAGTGGCCTTATTTGGTTTTCCAGTTGTTTTGATTTTATTCTGTGCTGAAAGTGACCATTTTGTAAAACAATCAAGGTTTATGTGAAACATGTCTGACAGCTGAAAGTTTCACTCTTTATAGGGAAAAAAATCTTTTTATTAGTTATAATGTGCTGTTACTGTTAAATTTGCAATTTCGTCTTTTGTAGAATTAACGTTGTGGAAGCTGTTTTGTTATTGAGATATTTTATCTTCAGAAAGAAATTTAAACAGTACCATGCACCATGATGTTAAAAATCAGGTTGATTAACTTTTATTTAGGTGAAGTGATTTACTATGTGTCAACATTTTCAATTAATGAATTTTTTGACATGTACACCGTTTTAATCTAAAGTGTCGTGGTCAATCTGTGCCAATCTATTTCAGAAACAATAGTAGATACCATAATGCGTATGTATAAAACAATTTTAATGTTTGGTTTTCTGGCCAATTTTGCCTGCTTCTAGCTGTACAAACTAATGGTGATGAACATGTTTTAGTTAACATTTTAATTTAGATGAAGTACAGTGATGTAACGTCTCACCTGTGTAAGTTATGATATCAAGACAACGCAATATTACTTAATTCTAATTCACCATAAATTGCTGGTCTTTGTTGTTGTTTTACCATTAGGACTGAGAAGGAATTAGCTCTTTTTGCTGTTTGTCTTTGGTCAGTGTAACATTTGTTTTTCCTTCTGTCATGTTCATACCAAATTAAGTTAAGCATTTTAGCGATTGGACATTGAAAGAGACTGCAAGCAATAAGGGACAACTCAGGCCACTTGTTCCCTTTCTTTCTGATTTCATTTATGAATTTCTCTCAAAGCAATTTGAGATGTTCTTATTTTTTTACATATCTTTATGAGACTAAAGATTGAAAAAGTGAAATCATGATCCGGAATAAATCATGAAAATTTGACAGTTGAACGCTATTCATTTGTGATCAATATTTAAGCTTTTCTTTTCAATAGTGCCTCTATGTCAACTTGTACATGATATTTCCATGTTCTTTTTTTTCTGCATGTGATGAGCAAATGTGTGAGTGATATGAAGAATGAATATTTTATTTGTATGAATGAATAAATGATCAATTGTGGAGAAATCTAACTTTCTGCTTTTGTCAATTTTTAAGTTTTTATTTATCTTTTTTACTTTTTTTGTTTTTTGTTTTTAGGAAAAGACTATCAGGAATGTATCTTGTGGCATAGTTGGTACGGGAGGAAACATGTTCGGAGATGGTGGTCCCAGCGCAAAAGGATACTGGGCCGCAGTTTCGACTAGGAAGGTACCTCGAGTTCTGTAATAGGGAACATAAGGGTAACTATTGACTTGGCATATTGTTGGGTTACATAGAGATGATTATGATTAGTTTTTACCTTGGACTGATTCCCTCACCCATGAACACCCCTGGATGGTTTCCAACTTCATGAGGTTGGGGATTAGGACACCAACCCCAAGCATAATGAGCATATGAGGGACACTGCCTTCCCCAATGCGACGTTTCATCCAAGATTGTTTCAGAGAAGTAAACAGGAGCCAATAGGTGACTGCAGAGTGGAATATCTGCAGAAGTTCCGGTTAAAGGGATTTAAATATTGTAGGAATTTTTCAGGTAAGAACCTGTGAATTTTGCAGGCCCGCCACACGCCACACCACACTCACTTCTGTCTCCCGTCATGCAGAAGGGTTGAAGGGATCCGCCATTAACGTAGAAGTCGACGTGCCCTGTAGGCTCCACCTTGCCCAGGACCCCGGCGTTCGTATGAATCACATCCACAAAGTCCGCGTCAGTCGAGTCCAGTTTCCACGATGGCGATAGGGACGCGAAGGCTGGCAGAGCGGGATCCAGGCCTGCAGAGATCATAATTAATATCAATACCTTCGACGTACGCCAACTTAAGGTCAAAACATATCCCTCCTGATGTGACTAATTTTTAGTTGGCTGTGGTAAAATTTTTGAATGGCTAGTCTCTTTGGCACTATTTTGTTCTCATTATGCACCTGTGATGCGGCCGACCTTCATCCCCGTGGTGGATAGCAGCTCGGCGCTCGTGTACGCGGCGATGTGCGCGCCGAGCGAGAAGCCTACCAGGTGAAGGTGCGGAGGTCGTAGAGAAGGCTGCAGGCGTCCCAGGTGCGATAGCAGCTGCCCCGTGCACCTCGACACCTGCCAGGTGTTCAGCACCGAGCTTGCGTAGCAGGGCAGCTGTGTCAGCCGACCCCAGTCCACTACGATCACGTTGTAGCCGCCTCGGAGCAGATAGGCTGCAACAAAGTAAGTATTGGTTGTGGTTGATGGCGTTGGTGATGGTGTTAACTCGAACAGAAGGTATACTTGCCGTACCTTGTCGAATCGAGGCGGTGAAATTGAAATCCACACTCCCCGCGAAGCCGTGTATTAACACTTTGGTTGGCAGGTTGGGCTCGAAATTTTCCGGTATTTGTGGGTCCTCGACGGACAACACGGATGGCCTTCCGTCCACAGCGCTATAACATGTCAATTTAAATTTGTATTTCCTTATCTGGGGTCAGGGTAGGCCAGGGCATATTATTTAGTATCATATAGTTGGAGACCTGAAATGGTAGAAGATGATGCTACCCGAATCGGTGCAGGGCTCGTACAGCTGAAGGATACAGGGACCCAAACTGAGCTCCAGTTTCTGGTCGCCGCCCCAGGGTCCCGGAAGGCCCGGACGGCCCGGAAGTATGTCCGAATCCGGAAGCAAGTTGAGCTCCGTGCCCGGATGTTCGGGAGGCTGGCCGATGGGAAGTCCCTGCTGCGTCTCCACGACGAACTCAGGGTAGGACTGGTACTGCTAACCATGAGCGGGGCAGATAGTTCGATGACTTCTCAAATATATCACTAAAATGAATAGCAATCCAAGAGTTTGCTTCGAAATTGCGTACCTGGAGGTCGTCCAGGTCCAGGAACTGCGCTGCGTCCATCTCCAGCTCTCTGTTCTGTCCTGGAAGGGGGACGGTCACCGGAGGTGGGAGCAGCAGTCTGAGTGAAGAAAGAAAGTAACTGGTTCAAAAGTGTGCCCGTTGTTGGCGACGTCCCTTCCACCGTGTCCGCGTCCCCAGTGCGACAGGCGACATCAAAACGACATCAGGAGGAGACCGCGTATGCAAAATTGACGTCGTTACGATGTCGTTTCGACACTTGTTTGACGTCGATTTCGCAGAGTGTGCTCACCCGTTCACGTCGGCCAGCCGCATCCTCGCCTCTCGGAGGCGGTGGTGACGGGACCTGGACTTCCCCCCCAGTCCCCCTGCGCCTCCGGGCGCCGCGGCGGCTGCCGTCACCGACGTCACTGCGCCTGGAACGAGAAATTGAACGGTGGGTCAGCAGCGCTATCTCCAGACCACGCCCGCCCCGCCCCACCCTTGGCACGCTGCTGCTGCCGCCATCACTGCGGCCCGGCGCGGTCTTGGGTTCAAGTTCAGCGCGGCGCGCTAATACATTTTCGAGGCGTTTCTCATCCGAGGCCGGGACCGCTTTGCAGCGATTGAAAAAGGCGACCTGCTCCTTCTTGCTCCGCCCTGGGCGACGGTTGCTGCTGCTGCGTGCTAGTTTGCCCGACGCAGCGCTGCCGCCGCAACGGCTCAATGGAACTTGTGAAGTTTTAGAATCTTTAAGAGCCGGTGTGGGGCCTCCTGCGCGGAGGTGGTGGCGGGGGGCGTGGTGCTGCTTCTGAATAGCGCAGCCTCTGTATAGGTTGGTCAGGCTTCGATCGGGGGTGCTGAACTGTGAACCGTGGCGGATAGACACGCCTCCGCCTCCTCCGCCTCCGAGGAACGGAAGCCCTTGAGCCGTAGCCGTCCTCGCACCCGCCCCCTCACCCTCCCCCCAGCACGGGCCCAGGCACCGCGTCGTGAATCCCTTGACCCCTGACCCGCGCAGGGGTCGGGCAGACTCGCACCCCGATGCTGAGACGGAGGAGCAGGGCCTAGCCTGGGCCTGATAGTGATCTAGTTTATCGCTCGCAACGCAGGTCAGGCCGGGACGAAATGATAAATTCCTCTCGCTCTACCCTAACCCCCGGCCCACCCGGTGTTCGAAGCCCAGTGACACGATCCTTTTCCTTTGAACAACCGACCCCCCACCCCCACCCCCACCACACACACACACACTGAAAAGAACACGGCACGAAAAAACCGCAGCAGCTTCGTGTTTTGTAAGAGGCCCTCGGTGGCACCCTTGGCCCACCCGCCCCAGTCCCAGGAACGCCGGACCAGCCGGACGGTCGCAGCTTTTTTCCTCCGGGGTTGGGTAATTTGTTTTGCCCTCGCTGACCCCTCCGCTCCGGCTCCCGTGGACGTCCATTACTCACAGGCCAGGAGCAGCAGCACCGGGGGCAGCGACGACGTCGGCCGCCTCATGTCGCACAGCCTGCGGACGACACGGCGAGTCCGCGGGGACCAGAGCTGTCGTCGACGGGGTCCTCAGGCCTCGTCGGAGACGCGCATCACATTTTGCCTCTGTCGCGGGCGCGCGCGGCGGAAGTGCGGCGTCGTCGAGTCGCGCGCGGGTTCGGGTCCTGCGGCCGCGGCGGCGTGCTGGTGACTGGCGGCGGGGAGCGCGCTGCCGCTGTCGCTGCCGGTGGTCATCGCGTCCGCTCAGCCCGCTCGCGTGCCGCCGCCCGGCCTTTTAGGCCCGGCGCCATGGGTAGGTATCGATGGCCGAACGGTAGCCGACCTGGGGCCGTGTGCGGACTGGACTCGACCAGGCGCGCCGCGCTACCGTTACCCGACCTGGCGCGACTCGTCTGCCTTGCTGGCCCTTGCCCTGCCGCCGCCGCGCCTCGGGTACTCGCGACACTGGCATGGCGGCCGCCCGGCCCGTCCGCCCGGCCCGGCCCGAGTGAAAAGTGCGAACGAGTGTGTGACGTCACGTCGCCTCGTCTGCTCGGGCCGCCCGGGCGGTGGGCGCCCGGCTTGTGAATGGGCCCGGCTACTCCGTCGAGTGATGAGGCCGCTCTCACTAAAACCATACTACTCTCGATTATTTTCCACGTCGTTGCCCTGCGCGGCAGGCCAGCGGAGCTGTTACACTGTGTGACGGTGGTCTTGATGTTGTTAGTCCGTTAGTCACTAGTGCATTCCCCCGCCTCCCCTCTTGGTCCGAGTCACTCTCTTTTCACTTTATTGCGAGAGAGAAAACTATATGCAACTCGACTCAATGACAATGAAATGGGGGCCCGGCCGGTGTGCCCCTGCGGCAGAGTTCGGCGCCCCTGTGCCTACTTGAGCAGCCCTGGCCCGCCGCCGGCCGCGCCCCCGCCCCCGCGGCGCTGGCGGAGGGGCGTGCGGGCTTGCCAGCATGGTGCCAGTCTCGCCTGGACCCCCGCGCCGGCAGCATGCTCCCTCCCCTCGCGCCACTCGCGCCGCGCTCACCGAGCTCCCCGAGCAGGCCGGCGTAGCCGCGATCGGCAGCTCGTCCGCCCGTGCCGACGCCCCGTGTGCCCCCGTTCCTTCGGCCCCCCGCCCGCACCCGCGCCCTCGGCCGCGCCAGCCTGGTGCTCTCGCTTGTTGGGCTCGCCCGCGTCGGCCCCGCGCCCCCCAACCCCGCGTCGACCGCGTCGACCGTCGACGGCCACCCTATCCTGGAGCCTACCCGCCGCCCTGGCTTGGGCTTCTCCCGGGCCCCTCTGGGGTCGGGCACCACCGGGATGGCGTGCTGGTGGTGTTTGTGGTGGCAGCAAGTGTGTCGAGTGCCTCAAGAGAGCTGTGTCAAAGTGGTGTCGTGCTAGTGCAGCAGCTGCACCAAGCGCCCCCAGGCCTGTGTCAGTGAAGTGCTTGTGAATGTTAGGGCCGCATCGGCGGCCTCCTCTCCGGCGGGACTCTCTCCCCGTGGACGTCGCCAACCGCCCCGCCCCTCGCGGGATCACCGCGTCGGACGGCTCCTGCTGAACTGTGAGTGTTCTCTTATCGGTTAGTGGGCTCCTGATGGTGGTGGTGATGGTGCACTTTGGGTGACGGCGAGTTTTAGTGGTCATCGGATAGAGTTTGTTGAATCGGAGCCCGGCGGCGCTGGTGACGTCCCCCCTCGAATGCTGCTGGCACCTCGGCTCCTCGGCTCGGCTCGGGCAGGCCCGTTGCTATTCCTAGCGCAGAGGCCTAGCCGCGGCCTAGAGGTGGCCTAGAGGCTCGTGGCTGCGGCCCCCTGCCCTGCCCCCTGCATGCACTGCCCGAGGCTCGGCCCGAGGCATGGGGGGTCCCCCTCGGTCTCGGGCCCTACTACAACGGCGAGGGGCGGGACGGTATGCCGACACTGTGGGGGTAAACTCCCCCGGTCCCCTCGCTATGTGCACACGGGGCGGAACACTCGAGAGGGTGGCTTCTGTGCCGCCTGATAACTTCCTCAGACGGACGAGCTCTGCTTTTCGAAAACCCGGGGGGTCATTTCAAGTTGGTCCTCGCGATGCAGAGCGGTCTGCGACCCCGTGACCTAAATTTACGACTCTGTCGCCGGCGCGGCCCGGCCGTGGCGGCCCACTTGGTGACCTAGGGTAACTTTGCCCACCACCTGACCCGCTGTGCGCTCAGCCGTCAGCGTCCTCCCTCTGGCCGTGCCGTGCCCACCTAGCCCCAGATTACGAAAGCCCTAAAGAAAATGCTTGTACAGTACGGCCGCGGTCTGTTTACCTTCGGGGGTGGCGACGGGTGGCGGGGTGCGCCGCGGCCCTGCACCCTCTCGCTTGGGACCCGTGCGTGACCAGCCGCACTGTACAGGTACGGCATGCGGCACGTCCTGGGTCCTGCTCTGCTTCGCTTCGACACGGCCTTCGCTGTATTTCTGTCTCTGTCGCCGTCCGCCAGGCTCCGCCAGAGGCTCCGCGCGCGGCGCGTCTCGCGGGCGCGACAGATATTTCTGCGGCGACTCACCAGACTCGCCCAGCCCAGCCTCAGCGCGCGACGCCGACGCAACGCGACGCGACGCGACCGGCGACCGCAGCAGTCGGGGGCGAAAGTGAAGGGAGATTACTCCTTCCTCTTTCTGTTTTTCGTTCCATCCGAACAATAACGTTTGTTGACGGCCCCCGCGGTCCCCACGGTCCCCCCCTCGAGCTCTCGGCTCGGCGCGCGGCGGCCTGGCCGCTGGCACACACTCTCGACCGTTCCTCACGCATCCGAGGGACCGTCGGGGACCCTGTGGGGGAGGTGGGGGGCAGACCGACCGGCGGCGGCAGCCCGGGGGCCGTCTTGTGGGACGCTCGCCGGCTCTAAGTCATTTTCAGTCACCAGAATTAGATTTGGACCGCGGTTCGAGCAGGCTACGCGCGCTACCTGGCGCCCACCCCCCTACCGCCCCTACCCCATCCCACCACCACCACTCACTGCACGCGCCCCTTCCTATCACCCTTCACTTTCCTCCATATCCTTTCCGTGTATTTATTTTTCGCGTGCACCGTTGGATTGTGTGGGGGCGGGTGGCGGGTCTTGATCCACGAAGGCCGTCGGATCACCTTCCCCCGTCTGTATGGCTTCGGCGGTGCTGTGCAGCAGGCATGCCTACTACTGGCGCCTGCTGGCCGCGCGGCCTGTGCTGCTGACACTGGGGCACGGCGTCAGGGGCCCTCAGCGCCGTGCGGTCTGTGGGGGCCCGTAGGGGCCGCAGGTGTTAGCACGGGGGTGGACGGTGTGTGTACGTAACAGCATGGGGTTCACTGGCCGTGGGCCGTGAGGCCCGTTGGTGCCCGCCAGTCGGGCTGACCCTGAGCAGGTCTTTGAAGGGCCCGAGCCCTGGCCCGCCAAGCCCGCCATCGGGAGCTCGCGAGGCTCAAGCGGAAAGCACACAAGCGCGACCGCTCACCGCGCGCCCCTTGCGACAGCGAGCGAGTGCCGGCGCCGCCAGGGTTCAAATACCACGACTGTTTTCTGCCTGCCCTCCCCTCTCTCTTTTTTGCCTCTTCACGCTCAGCAGGAGTTGGGTGGAAAGAGGGATTTTCCGCCCTTTCCCGCCTTCTTCCTTCTCTGTGGAACACATGGCCAACAGGAACGAACGGAGCGGGGTTTTCTTTCAAAGCCATTGAGGTCGGATCGGATCTACTTCCCCCCTTACCCCCTCGCCCTC